TTTTTCACAATTTGCACAAAAAGTATGCACACGTTTGACGTAAAGGAAGTTTTACTGCAATGAGCTATTTTTTGTAACGCTTAATTAAAGAACAACAGAATGCTTTCAATATAATTAATATTAAATATCTTGCTCCGAATTTGACTTAAAAAAGGTGGCTTTACTGTATTAACTTCGAAAGTCCGAATCGCCCTAGGTGATCACCTCGGACTGCAGCGTATTGAGTGCGGAATCGTTAAGTGAAAATTCAGTCAGCGGATTGGATAGTGATTTACTAAAATGCTTATGTTATTAAATTAACATGTATAATGTTAAATTATTTAGATGAGGCTTAATCACCAATTGTATAACCTTTTTGGGAAAGTAAGATTCGAATCGTTTTAAGTATATTTTATGGGTGTATTTAATCAAATCGCTGGATAAATTGTGATTGATTTTGATTCCGCTGAAAAATCGGTGTGTGGTACCGCGGAATGGAATTGAGGTGATTTTCCAGCGGAAATGATTTCTGTGGCCCCCCTGATAGTATATTTTGAGTAGAAGTGAGAGTGTTGTATGTTGTTATGTTAGATTTCCATTGTTATATTAGAAGTACACAGAGCAAGCACGACTGCTTCATTTGGTTGATTGATTGAGAATGTTTATTGAATATCTTTTGGTTCTTATCCTAGGGTACAATCGATCTTATGTATAACGGAAAGCGAGAGTTCTCCCCCGCATTATATGAAAAGAGTACCACCGCATAAGTATTAGTGCGCGTGGTCTCTGCCTGAGTCTAATGGAAATGCATGATCAGCATTAAGGGGCTTTTGAGAGGGAGACCCATCGCCTCAGTGTTAGGGCGTTTGGGTTCTGCCTGAGTTCGGGTAAATGCCTGCTCAGCAGTTTTGGTAGCTGACCGATCTGCGTTCAAGTCGTAGATCGTTGATGTGCAAAAGGAATGCGTAACATAAACATAAGTTGTTTATGTCACTGCTCATATGTACACGCTTATATATGTATTTATATATATAACAGAGTTTTACATATGTACATGCATGGGTTCACTACACCTCCCTTTTTTTAAAAAATAACGTTGTTGAGCTACTGAGCTTCTTCAGTAGCGTTGTATTGCGATATTATTAAAAAGGCGATGATTGTTCAATATATATATTCACAGTTTATTGTGGTGAAGTAAATAAGCGATACAGAGTCGAAAGGATAGTTAGCTGGATTCAAGACGGGGTCAGATTGAAGACGCGGGGGTCGGTTCAAGACGGTGTCGGATTGAATAGCTCGATTCCAAGACGATGCGCAGTGATTGCAAGATCAAGATTAATTCAAAGGGCAGGCGGGCCGAATTGCCTGTGCCCTAATGCGAGCGAGAGAGCGACAGATCGAGAGAGTGATAGCGAAAGGCGATAGAAAGAAAGGTGTGGGATGAAGAGGCGAAAGAGAACGGCTGCATAGGCTGCTGCCGTGAGGGAGCATGAATGCGTGCATGAGTTTGTAGGTAAATGACAATTTAGTACAGTGGGCAGTGCAAACAACGAACAATAATAAGGATTTACTCTACTGCTGCACCACTGGCTATAATCTATGCATTTGGCCACTATTTGGCTGCGTAACCAAACATACTCCCCCCGTTGAAGATCACGGGTCTTTAACAAACTTCCTTCAACAGCATACAGGGTTCAGCAGACAAAGCTTGTTGTTGATGGGGCCGTTCTTCCTTCCGTCGATACCTTTAGATTCGCTGCAAGAAAGCAACGCGTTGTCCGACATCTAATCGGTTGAAGTTGAGCCATGTCATGTGATGCTCAGCGACAGAATAAGAAGAGGCGAAAAAGAATATCGCATTCAAACCAAGCACTGGAAGTGATGTGTCCAGATCAGCATGATTTCCTGAAATGACTGAGGGATTAGCAATTTCTGCCCTCCCCCAATAGGCCAATGTCGGGATGGTCTTTGGCCCAGCACAGCTTGAGGTCCAGCGCGATGCCCAGAATTACGTCCGCCAGCAGAGAGCGTGGGTTCGTTCGGATGAACATCGGCCGGAACGAAGCGTTTGCAGAGAACCCACAAGGCCTGAAGGTCCGTAAACGAGGTCGTAGGCTGAGCAGGAACCACATCCGACGCAAGTCCACCTGTGTTGATGCAATCGAGGCCGCCTTCTAACTTTGAATAGGATGCCTCGTCTCCTGCTCCACCATGAAGAGCCGGCACAAGAAACGGATGCTTCGATTGGTATTGGTTTCTGTCGGTCAGTCCGATTGGCTCCAAAATCGCGCACGAATCCACTTGAAATGGGGCCGGTGTGATTCCGTGACCATACGCAGGATGCGGAGTTACGGAAGTGGACCGCTTAGTGATCTCTCCGAGAATGATCCCATTGAGCGTCACAAACAGCTCCTCAAAGTCATCGGCGAGTTTACTCCCAATCTCGTCGAAGTCTAGCTCCTCGAGTTCACTGTGCACGGTTTTAAAAGTGCCGTGCAGCTCCTCGATTTGCTTCAGCCTGCCAACGAGCATGAAGTGGTCGAATAGGGAAGCGTTCTCCAAGACAACTTTTAGCTGCTTCATCCGTTCAAATAACGCTGGTGCTTTCCGCTTTAGGAAAGCCAGACTGTTTCCAGCAGCGGTCACTGCACCGTCGTTCCTCGCACCCATTTCGGCGCAGGCGCTAGAAAACGTTCCTAGCGGGAAGATGACCGCAAAGAAGAACGAACGCTTGCAGTAAATGCAGCAAGAACCGCAAGCAGATCGCAAAGCAGACGACGCGAGCACCGTTTTTGTTGCTTGTGCACAGCCGAATACCGAAAAAACCGTGGTTCAATGCGAATTTAACGAACGACAAGTTTTATTGTTTTTGTGATTTAATTGTTTATATCACGTCGGGGTCACCAAATGTTGAGCTACTGAGCTTCTTCAGTAGCGTTGTATTGCGATATTATTAAAAAGGCGATGATTGTTCAATATATATATTCACAGTTTATTGTGGTGAAGTAAATAAGCGATACAGAGTCGAAAGGATAGTTAGCTGGATTCAAGACGGGGTCAGATTGAAGACGCGGGGGTCGGTTCAAGACGGTGTCGGATTGAATAGCTCGATTCCAAGACGATGCGCAGTTATTGCAAGATAAAGACTAATTCAAAGGGCAGGCGGGCCGAATTGCCTGTGCCCTAATGCGAGCGAGAGAGCGACAGATCGAGAGAGTGATAGCGAAAGGCGATAGAAAGAAAGGTGTGGGATGAAGAGGCGAAAGAGAACGGCTGCATAGGCTGCTGCCGTGAGGGAGCATGAATGCGTGCATGAGTTTGTAGGTAAATGACAATTTAGTACAGTGGGCAGTGCAAACAACGAACAATAATAAGGATTTACTCTACTGCTGCACCACTGGCTATAATCTATGCATTTGGCCACTATTTGGCTGCGTAACCAAACAAACGTAATTTATGAAGTTTTTTAAAACAATATTTGAATTTTGTAAACTAAAATGTATGTTTATGTATAAAAAAATATTATTTTGTTTTGTTATACCCGTACTCAAAAAAGAGTTAAGGGGTATATTAGATTTGTGGTAAAAGTGGATGTGTGTAACGCAGAGAAGGAAACGTTTCCGACCCCATAAAGTATATATATTCTTGATCAGCATCAATAGCCGAGTCGATATAGCCATGTCTGTCTGTCCGTCCGTCCGTCCGTCTTGTTGAGCGCCTGCATCTCAGAGACTATAAGAGTTAGGGTAACCAAATTTGGTTTCCAGATTCATGCGATATCACACTGCTATAAGTGTATTTCAAAATTTCGCCCCGCCCCCACAAAGGACGAAAATCTGTGGCAGGCACAATTTTAAAGATACGATAAAACTGAAAACGCAGTATCGTAGAGAATGACCATACATACCAGATTACCGAATCTGAATCAGATCGGATCATAATTATAGCCAGAATGAAGAAATTAATTTTCTGTTGGTTTCCTCTCCTTCTCCAGCGCTGCTGACGCTACTGATTCTCTTTCTCGCTCGCACACTCTGCCACGTTCAGTACGCGAGCAACCCCTAGCGGAGATGATGTTGAATCTAAATGGTACATGTAGAATCTACATGTTAGATGTAGAATATACATTGTAGATGTAGATACCAGATGTAGCAGTAAAATGTAAATTTTTTTTTTTCATTCTAAAATTCTAAATAATCATAAGCTCAAAAATGTATATACTGACTGAGTACGGGTATAAGTAGAGTCGCGTCCCCTGAAGCGACTCACACGTTCCTTCTCGTTTGTTTATAAAAATTATTAGTTGATACCAATTCGGTTTCTGTTCCGAATATATCACAGTATTTGGTGCATAATTCTGTAAGAATGGTTTTGAATTGAATGGGGAAGTTTTTATCTAACTTGCATCACAATGGCTCAATCCGCCACCTCAGTCGCTCGGACCAAATTGGTCGCCGCTATTGGCCGATTGATGCACCTGGCAGAGCGCATCACCGCCGCCCCATCCGCATCTTTGTCCGATGTCCGTCGAGGCCAAATCCTCAGCATGTGGACGGACGTCGAGGCCGAATATAAGGCCTGCTCCGCGGCGATGACAGACGAGGAGCCAGAAATCCAAGCGGACATCCGTGACACATACGGCGAATGCTATGGGGTGTTTGAGCAGTGTCTCAGTGACCTCAATGCCCAACTGGCTACATCCACAGTCCTTCCTCCTTCACAGCCAGTCCAACAGGGCGGCTGTCGACTGCCTCCCGTCAACATTGAGGCATTCTCCGGGGACTACGTCCGCTGGCCCACATTAAGGGATTTGTTCACTGCGGTCGTGATCAACAATCCTAGATTGTCTCCGGTAGAGAGGCTGTATTACCTCACCGAGAAGACCCGGGGCGATCCGAAGGCCATCGTAGAGAAATCACCCCTCACTAATGACGGTTTCGAATCCGCATGGTTGGCTCTCCGCAGCCGATACGAAAATAATCGGCTTCTGGTGACGGATCTTGAAGGATCTTCAAAGTACGATGCAAGGAGCTCTAAATGCGCTAGCGGTCTCCAACGTCTGCACGGACAACTGGGATAGTCTGCTTGTCACCATTTGCGCTTCCAAATTGCCGAAGTTGAGCCGGGCGTTGTGGGAAGCGTCCGTAACGGACAAAAAAGAGGTGCCGCCTTGGACAGAAATCGACTCCTTCCTCACTCAGCGCTATCTGACTCTCGAGGCTATTGAGAGCGACCCTTCCAACTCCCGAGGGGCTACGAATCCGCCTCCCTCCAAGGGCGTCCAAAATCCACCCACCTCTCGCAACCACTCCAATCCATTCCGTTCGCAAGGCAGTCCGACGCCAAACAAGGTTCACTCGTTCAATACCCAAGTGAGTCCGAAGAAGCGAACGTGTGACCTCTGTTCCAAAGAGAATCACCCGATTTGAGTTTGTCCCCGCTTTCTCAACATGTCCGTTGATGCACGTTCCAGCTGCATTAAGAAAAAGCAGCTGTGCTTAAATTGCTTCGCAAGAGGTCATCTGCTTCGCGACTGCTCCAGCAGCCACAATTGTTCCACTTGTGGGGCCAGGCATCACACGCTTCTGCATCGTGCCGCTCCTTCATCCAACGTAGCGGCTTCGACTTCCGCCCAAACCCCCAGCTCATCCGGACCTCAGCCCAACGTACAGAGCTATTTCGCCTCCAGCACAAGTACCGTTCTTCTGGGCACGGCACTCATTAATATTTGTCACCTGGGGACCAATTTCCGTGCCCGTGCACTGATTGACTCAGGCTCCGAGGCGACGTTCATCACTGAACGTCTTTTTAACATTATTAAGCCACCGTTCGAAGCCATACAGGCTCAAGTCGCAGGCTTAAACCAAACCGTGGCGGCTAAGGCGCAAAGGCGCTGTCACTTCATGATCGGGGCCGCCTCCAGGCCTGGCCTCAAAATCGAGACCATGGCATATGTTCTGCCTCAATTAGCAGGTAACCTTCCCTCATATCCGATACCGCAGCACTTCTTGGACAAGCTTCCAAATCTCCCGCTGGCAGACCCCTCCTTTCACCGAAGCTCGCAGATTGATGTGCTTTTAGGCGCTGACATCCTCCCTTCTATCCTGTTGAGCGGCTTCCGGTCTGACATTTGCGGCTCGCTGCTAGGACAAGAGACCATCTTCGGATGGGTCCTATCCGGTCCGGTATCAGCTGACTCGACTCGGACGGTTTCCGCCTTCACCACGAAGCTCTCGTTAGATTCGAACGTCCGACTCGAGAAGCTTCTCACCAAATTCTGGGAGGTGGAGGACCTTCCGGGGAAGCCGACGAGTGAGTCAGATTCTGTGTGCGAGGAAAACTTCCGCAAGACCACTAAACGAGCCCCCGATGGGAGGTATATTGTTACTCTCCCTTTCAAGTGTCCAGAAAATGTCGATCTAGGACACTCCAGGTGCGCGGCACAGGCCCAGTTCCTTAAAAACGAGCAGCGTCTGCAGCGGAATTTGCCGCTCAAAGAGCAGTACGACGCCGTTATCCAGGAATATTTAGAGCTAGGCCACATGACAGCGGTTACACCCAGTCATGACTCCGGCCATTACTACCTTCCACATCACGCCGTGTTTAAACCCGACAGCACCACAACCAAACTGCGCGTGGTCTTCAACGCCTCCAGCCCGTCTTCCAACGGGAAAAGCCTCCACGACACATTGCATTCGGGGCCAGTCCTTCAGTCTGACTTGACTATGCAAATCCTGAAGTGGCGAGTCTTCCGCTATGTCTTCAATGCCGACATCAGCAAGATGTACCGCCAGATCCAATTGTCTTCCCAACACACGCCCTATCAGCGAATACTCTTTCGCGACCGTAAGGGGGACGTGTGTGACTACGAGCTTGCCACTGTCACCTTCGGAGTCCACATGTACGTGGACGACGTGCTGGCTGGTGCTCACACTCAGTCACAGGCAATCTCCGCCATTTCAGAATTACGCAAAGCGCTCGATTCCGCAGGGTTTCCACTCCGAAAGTGGACAGCGAACCACAAGGGCGTACTGCGCGACATTCCGGTCGACCACCTACTTCGAGCTGACTTCCTAGAGCTTGACGAAAGTAGCATCGCTAAGACATTGGGGATCCGATGGCAAGCCAGTGCCGATGAATTCTTCTTTGCTCCTCCCGAAGTACTTCAGCGGGAGTCCTGAACGAAGCGCAATGTGCTATCGCAGATTGCGCAGCTGCTCGATCCAGCGGGATGGCTTGCCCCCTTTGTCATCCAAGCCAAAATGTTCATACAAGAAATTTAGCTAAGAGAGTAAGGGTGGGATGACATCCTCCCTAGCGATCTATCTCACACCTGGGAGACGTTCCTGAAGAGTTTTCCGGCCATCCAGGATATCCGCATTCCGCGGTGGTTGCACGTTTGTCCAATGGACAAGGTGCAGATACATGGCTTCTGCGACGCGTCTCAACGTGCCTATGGGGCAGCGATTTACATCCGAGTTGAGCGACCGCAGGGCATTGTCTGTGCCCTTCTCACAGCTAAAACCCGCGTGGCCCCCGTGAAAACGGTTTCCTTGCCTCGACTCGAACTGTGCGGAGCCGTCCTTCGGACAGAGCTTTCCGAGGCCATCCTTCCACAACTGCCACTGGACACCAGCCAAGTATACTTCTGGACCGATTCCACGATTGTGTTGGCCTGGCTGAACCGACCTGCATGCGATTGGACCACTTTCGTGGGCAATCGAGTAGCCAAAATCACTCGATGGTGGCCCAGCGAGCGATGGAGCCACGTCCGATCCGAGGACAATCCGGCCGACCTGGCCAGTCGAGGGCTAGGACCCTCTGACCTGGTTGGAAGTGATATGTGGTGTCATGGCCCTGCTTGGTTGCGTAGTCCAAAATCGGAGTGACCATGTCCGCGGGACTCAGTCCTTGAGACTGACCTGGAGAAGCGAGTCGTCAAGGTGCACCATGCCACCAGCAGCGCCTCCGACATCCTCAGCCGTTTCTCCGACCTCGGGCGCGCTCTGCGCGTGATCGCCTACGTTCGGCGGTTCACTCAGCGAGTTAAAGGGCAGACGACCCATGTCTTCAAGGAGCTGAACGGAAATGAGGTCGCTGCCGCTCTCCAGGCGGTCACACTGACAACCCAACGCTTCCATTATGCTGGGGAGCATCGGTGCCTGCTAAACAGCCACTCCCTACTACGAGTTCTCTTCTGAATCTTAATCCGTTCCTTGACCAGAACGGAGTCATGCGGGCATGTGGCCGAGTCCAAGCCTCGGCGTCCATGTCCTACAACGAACGGCATCCAATCCTGTTGCCACCCGCATGTCTCCTGATTCGCCTGCTGGTTCGATTCACCCATCATATATCGCTACATGGTGGGAACCAGCTGGTCATTCGCCTTATACGGGCAACATACTGGATCCCTCGACTACGTCACGTAGTGAGGGCAGTGATTCATTCGTGTAAGGTCTGCGTCCTCCATCGTAAACGACTCCAAACCCAACTAATGGGCGACCTTCCTGCATCACGAGTCACATTCTCCAGACCGTTCATATACACCGGAGTTAAATTCGCCGGCCCCTTCGACGTTAAAAGCTTCACAGGTCGCGCCTGTCGCATCTCAAAGGGGTATGTGTGCGTGTTCGTCTACTTTTCCACGAAGGCCATCCACTTAGAGGCCACGTCCGACTTATCCACCGACACCTTCCTAGCCGCCTTCGCTCGTTTCGTAGCGAGACGAGGGTGTCCTCATGAAGTTCAATCCGACAACGAAAGGAATTTTGTCGGCGCGTCCCGCTCTCTGGCTGTGGATCTTCTCGAGGCACTTCGCACTCGGACTTCTGCGGTGTACAGCCAGCAGGGGCTATCGTGGCGGTTTATCCCTCCCGGAGCCCCACATATGGGGGGCTTGTGGGAAGCAGGTGTGAAGAGCTTCAAGGCTCTGTTCCAACGGTCGATGTGTACGTCCAAATACACATTAGAGGAGTTCGCGACCTTACTTTCGAAAATTGAGGCATGTCTTAACTCGCGACCAATCTCTCCTATGTCTGAGGATCCAACGGATCCCTTGGCCTTGAGGAATTGCGCTCAGGAATGGCGTCTCGGCCGTGTGCAGAACGCGTATCCTGGAGCCGATGATAAGGTCCGTGTGGTAGACCTACTCACGGCCCGCGGCCTTATCAAGAGACCGATCACTAAGGTGGTTCTGCTGCCTATGGAATCGGATGTCCTGTCCACCTACTCGCGCGGAGGCTCCGATTCATAAGCCTTCGTCCTTTTTTTCTGCTTAAATCCAACGTAGTTATCCGTACCCGTATCCGTATCCGTATGCCAACCCATGCCAGCTCTTTACTAATGCTCCGGTGATTCCTTTCTTCATCCTAGTTTTTTCCAGAAGGCAGCTATGGCCCCTCAAACCTCATCACGTTCCCGATCCAGCCGCAGGTCGGATCGCTCACGGGCACGAGGAAAGACTTCCTTCCAGTGTCGAGTGTGTCCCGCAGTTCACCCACTGAGGAACTGCCGGAAGTTTATCCGGTTGAGCGTCGAGAAGAGGCTCCGAGCCGTCCTCCTGCATAGGTATTGCTCCAACTGCCTAGCTCACGAGCACTCGGGCAAGGACTGCCGCAGTGGAGCCACAATTGTTCCACTTGTGGGGCCAGGCATCACACGCTTCTGCATCGTGCCGCTCCTTCATCCAACGTAGCGGCTTCGACTTCCGCCCAAACCCCCAGCTCATCCGGACCTCAGCCCAACGTACAGAGCTATTTCGCCTCCAGCACAAGTACCGTTCTTCTGGGCACGGCACTCATTAATATTTGTCACCTGGGGACCAATTTCCGTGCCCGTGCACTGATTGACTCAGGCTCCGAAGCGACGTTCATCACTGAACGTCTTTTTAACATTATTAAGCCACCGTTCGAAGCCATACAGGCTCAAGTCGCAGGCTTAAACCAAACCGTGGCGGCTAAGGCGCAAAGGCGCTGTCACTTCATGATCGGGGCCGCCTCCAGGCCTGGCCTCAAAATCGAGACCATGGCATATGTTCTGCCTCAATTAGCAGGTAACCTTCCCTCATATCCGATACCGCAGCACTTCTTGGACAAGCTTCCAAATCTCCCGCTGGCAGACCCCTCCTTTCACCGAAGCTCGCAGATTGATGTGCTTTTAGGCGCTGACATCCTCCCTTCTATCCTGTTGAGCGGCTTCCGGTCTGACATTTGCGGCTCGCTGCTAGGACAAGAGACCATCTTCGGATGGGTCCTATCCGGTCCGGTATCAGCTGACTCGACTCGGACGGTTTCCGCCTTCACCACGAAGCTCTCGTTAGATTCGAACGTCCGACTCGAGAAGCTTCTCACCAAATTCTGGGAGGTGGAGGACCTTCCGGGGAAGCCGACGAGTGAGTCAGATTCTGTGTGCGAGGAAAACTTCCGCAAGACCACTAAACGAGCCCCCGATGGGAGGTATATTGTTACTCTCCCTTTCAAGTGTCCAGAAAATGTCGATCTAGGACACTCCAGGTGCGCGGCACAGGCCCAGTTCCTTAAAAACGAGCAGCGTCTGCAGCGGAATTTGCCGCTCAAAGAGCAGTACGACGCCGTTATCCAGGAATATTTAGAGCTAGGCCACATGACAGCGGTTACACCCAGTCATGACTCCGGCCATTACTACCTTCCACATCACGCCGTGTTTAAACCCGACAGCACCACAACCAAACTGCGCGTGGTCTTCAACGCCTCCAGCCCGTCTTCCAACGGGAAAAGCCTCCACGACACATTGCATTCGGGGCCAGTCCTTCAGTCTGACTTGACTATGCAAATCCTGAAGTGGCGAGTCTTCCGCTATGTCTTCAATGCCGACATCAGCAAGATGTACCGCCAGATCCAATTGTCTTCCCAACACACGCCCTATCAGCGAATACTCTTTCGCGACCGTAAGGGGACGTGTGTGACTACGAGCTTGCCACTGTCACCTTCGGAGTCCACATGTACGTGGACGACGTGCTGGCTGGTGCTCACACTCAGTCACAGGCAATCTCCGCCATTTCAGAATTACGCAAAGCGCTCGATTCCGCAGGGTTTCCACTCCGAAAGTGGACAGCGAACCACAAGGGCGTACTGCGCGACATTCCGGTCGACCACCTACTTCGAGCTGACTTCCTAGAGCTTGACGAAAGTAGCATCGCTAAGACATTGGGGATCCGATGGCAAGCCAGTGCCGATGAATTCTTCTTTGCTCCTCCCGAAGTACTTCAGCGGGAGTCCTGAACGAAGCGCAATGTGCTATCGCAGATTGCGCAGCTGCTCGATCCAGCGGGATGGCTTGCCCCCTTTGTCATCCAAGCCAAAATGTTCATACAAGAAATTTAGCTAAGAGAGTAAGGGTGGGATGACATCCTCCCTAGCGATCTATCTCACACCTGGAGACGTTCCTGAAGAGTTTTCCGGCCATCCAGGATATCCGCATTCCGCGGTGGTTGCACGTTTGTCCCAATGGACAAGGTGCAGATACATGGCTTCTGCGACGCGTCTCAACGTGCCTATGGGGCAGCGATTTACATCCGAGTTGAGCGACCGCAGGGCATTGTCTGTGCCCTTCTCACAGCTAAAACCCGCGTGGCCCCCGTGAAAACGGTTTCCTTGCCTCGACTCGAACTGTGCGGAGCCGTCCTTCGGACAGAGCTTTCCGAGGCCATCCTTCCACAACTGCCACTGGACACCAGCCAAGTATACTTCTGGACCGATTCCACGATTGTGTTGGCCTGGCTGAACCGACCTGCATGCGATTGGACCACTTTCGTGGGCAATCGAGTAGCCAAAATCACTCGATGGTGGCCCAGCGAGCGATGGAGCCACGTCCGATCCGAGGACAATCCGGCCGACCTGGCCAGTCGAGGGCTAGGACCCTCTGACCTGGTTGGAAGTGATATGTGGTGTCATGGCCCTGCTTGGTTGCGTAGTCCAAAATCGGAGTGACCATGTCCGCGGGACTCAGTCCTTGAGACTGACCTGGAGAAGCGAGTCGTCAAGGTGCACCATGCCACCAGCAGCGCCTCCGACATCCTCAGCCGTTTCTCCGACCTCGGGCGCGCTCTGCGCGTGATCGCCTACGTTCGGCGGTTCACTCAGCGAGTTAAAGGGCAGACGACCCATGTCTTCAAGGAGCTGAACGGAAATGAGGTCGCTGCCGCTCTCCAGGCGGTCACACTGACAACCCAACGCTTCCATTATGCTGGGGAGCATCGGTGCCTGCTAAACAGCCACTCCCTACTACGAGTTCTCTTCTGAATCTTAATCCGTTCCTTGACCAGAACGGAGTCATGCGGGCATGTGGCCGAGTCCAAGCCTCGGCGTCCATGTCCTACAACGAACGGCATCCAATCCTGTTGCCACCCGCATGTCTCCTGATTCGCCTGCTGGTTCGATTCACCCATCATATATCGCTACATGGTGGGAACCAGCTGGTCATTCGCCTTATACGGGCAACATACTGGATCCCTCGACTACGTCACGTAGTGAGGGCAGTGATTCATTCGTGTAAGGTCTGCGTCCTCCATCGTAAACGACTCCAAACCCAACTAATGGGCGACTTTCCTGCATCACGAGTCACATTCTCCAGACCGTTCATATACACCGGAGTTAAATTCGCCGGCCCCTTCGACGTTAAAAGCTTCACAGGTCGCGCCTGTCGCATCTCAAAGGGGTATGTGTGCGTGTTCGTCTACTTTTCCACGAAGGCCATCCACTTAGAGGCCACGTCCGACTTATCCACCGACACCTTCCTAGCCGCCTTCGCTCGTTTCGTAGCGAGACGAGGGTGTCCTCATGAAGTTCAATCCGACAACGAAAGGAATTTTGTCGGCGCGTCCCGCTCTCTGGCTGTGGATCTTCTCGAGGCACTTCGCACTCGGACTTCTGCGGTGTACAGCCAGCAGGGGCTATCGTGGCGGTTTATCCCTCCCGGAGCCCCACATATGGGGGGCTTGTGGGAAGCAGGTGTGAAGAGCTTCAAGGCTCTGTTCCAACGGTCGATGTGTACGTCCAAATACACATTAGAGGAGTTCGCGACCTTACTTTCGAAAATTGAGGCATGTCTTAACTCGCGACCAATCTCTCCTATGTCTGAGGATCCAACGGATCCCTTGGCCTTGAGGAATTGCGCTCAGGAATGGCGTCTCGGCCGTGTGCAGAACGCGTATCCTGGAGCCGATGATAAGGTCCGTGTGGTAGACCTACTCACGGCCCGCGGCCTTATCAAGAGACCGATCACTAAGGTGGTTCTGCTGCCTATGGAATCGGATGTCCTGTCCACCTACTCGCGCGGAGGCTCCGATTCATAAGCCTTCGTCCTTTTTTTTCTGCTTAAATCCAACGTAGTTATCCGTACCCGTATCCGTATCCGTATGCCAACCCATGCCAGCTCTTTACTAATGCTCCGGTGATTCCTTTCTTCATCCTAGTTTTTTCCAGAAGGCAGCTATGGCCCCTCAAACCTCATCACGTTCCCGATCCAGCCGCAGGTCGGATCGCTCACGGGCACGAGGAAAGACTTCCTTCCAGTGTCGAGTGTGTCCCGCAGTTCACCCACTGAGGAACTGCCGGAAGTTTATCCGGTTGAGCGTCGAGAAGAGGCTCCGAGCCGTCCTCCTGCATAGGTATTGCTCCAACTGCCTAGCTCACGAGCACTCGGGCAAGGACTGCCGCAGTGGAGACCTATGTAAGGTGTGCTCCCGGAACCACCACACTCTGCTCCACCTGCCCGGGTCTCGGCGCCCTGCTGGCTCCTCTTCGGCTCCGTCGACTTCACCTCCGTCTCGGCGCCCTGCTGGCTCCTCTTCGGCTCCGTCGACTTCACCTCCGTCGACTTCACCTAAGTCACCTAAGCAACCCTTAAACAACACTCAATCAGAATAGACGTGCAAGTTACACGCTCCGTCAACAAGTGCTTTTTTCGGTGAAACCTGCAAACAACAACACATCAGCTGCTGGTCAATACAAATATAAGGTGCTTACCAACATCAGAGCACTGTCATCGGATCACCACCGGCTGGCCCGTGGGCTTATTATTGTTTTTAAAAAACTGGTCATCGAGTAACTCGAAAGTAGCTCAAACTTGGCAAAGGAAGGCACGGAAAAAGCGGGAAACGAAATTTTTCACTTAATACTGAGTGGGAAACGTGAGTACGAACGTAAACAACGAAAACAACAGCGCTAGAGGTGACATTACACAGCTGTTAGCGATCGATCTGCCACGCATATTGCAAAAGCTCGCGCTAGAGGGCGCCCACCAATAGTGCACCAACATTCTGTATAGCCTCGCCTCTGTTAAAGCACATAATCAAAACAATGCAGCCTGTCTCAAAACGTCTGCGTGAAAATACTGGAACAAATCTGAAGGGACCGCGTACATCAGAAACGCCTGCCCGGAATTGGTTCAGCTTTTGAACCAACGATTTGAGGAGCAAGTCAGTCTCATTTCAACAAAGATGAATGAGGCAGAAGAGCGGCTGTTAAGTTTGCTAACAGGCAAGCTTAATAGTGTGGCTGGTGAGATCCAGAATCTCACACAGAGAGTCCAGTTTCTAGAAAGTAGGCTGGGTGAGACTCAAAACCTTACAAAAAAGGTAGAGGATCTGGAAGCCCAGCTTTTGTTAAAACTAGATGCACAGGCTAAGGCCAATGTCGCATGCGACCTGAGGATCCATTGAGTTCCGTACGTCGAAGGGGAAAAGCTGAAACATATCTTCAACAACTTGTGCCTCAGCCTAAATCACACGCCTGCGCCTGCTATTAGGGATATCTATCTTTCCCACTCCATCGTTGACCCCATCATCATTGTCAAGCTGGAACGGGTGCGCGACAAAGCGGCATAACTGCGCAACATCGGTATGTACAGGCGGGAAACCAAGCAGCCCCTAACTCTGCAGTTACTCGGCCTAAACTCACCAGCCCCAGTATATGTCAACGAGCAGCTTACCACGGAAAACTACCAGATTTTTAGAGAAGCTCTGAAAATGAAGAAGCATCGGAAGCTGCAATCCGTGTTTACGCGCAGGGGTATGGTTCACGTCAAAGTGACCCAAGAAAGTGAGATCTGGGAAGTTCTCAAAATTGAGGATCTGAGGGAGATGCAAGCTGCTACTGAGAGCCCTGCAGCTGGAGACGAGAATAGCTCGTTTCGTCAATAATATAACCATAGGCAAATTTTTCATGTTAGCTATAAGTATTACCCATCTAACCACCTTCCTGTATTTTATTTTTAAGTGGGCCCTTAACTGTACTTGGTTGGTTGGTTGGTAATGAAATTTTTCGTTGTGTTAAAACACACTTGATATGGACGGTTCATTAGAACTAACAAATGTGAATACATCTCAGGTCCTCAGAATTCTGGTGAAGCAAAAATCGGGTCTGCAAATCTGCCATATCAATGCACAAAGCCTGACAAAAAAAATTGACGAATTCAGACATATGTTTATCGACTCTGGTGTGGATGTTATATGTGTTTCCGAGACTTGGTTTGTCCCCGACTTAAGTGACTCGTTAATTGAATGTAGAGGATACAATGTATTTCGTTCTGATCGTGTAGGGCATGCCGGGGGCGTTGCAATATACATAAATAACAAGATATCCGCAAAAATCCTCTGTAAGCAAGGACCAGATAGTGCCATAGAATACTTATTTCTAACGATCACAATCAATAGAAGAAAGATGCTTCTTGGTTGCATATATCGACCAAATCGAAACATTGACTACTCAGACCTGACATCACTTATTACTGACATTTCCTTGACTTATACAGACGTAATCCTAGCAGGTGACTTTAATTGTGATATTCTTAGAGAATCCTCATTAGCAGATAGCATGTTGAGCCTTGACTTAAATATAATGAACCACCAGCTCCCCACACACTTTACAAAAACAAGAAACACACTACTAGACCTATTCTTTGTCGACAGTACTGACAAAATTATACTATATGACCAACTCACAGCACCAGGGTATTCAAAACATGACCTTATTTTCTTGACCTACGATTTTAATCCTGACTACGATAATTATGACACCTTTTACAGAGACTTCAAGAGCATTGACCTTGAAAAACTACACACTGACATTAGCATTCTTGACTGGACGTCAATACATTATATGTTGTCTGTAAATTCTCAGCTTGCCCAACTTCAATCAAACATTGACTATCTTTACTGTGAACATGTACCTATTAAGAGAAAGACAGTCAAACGAACAGATAACTCATGGTTCAACCCGGAGATAAAGCTGGGTATCATCAAACGAAATGAGGCTTTTAAAAAATTTAAAAGATATAAGACTGAAAGCCACTTTAATATGTACAAATCATTAAGATCAAACGTAACTAAACTAATATACTCTGCTAAGACCGCCTTCTACTCGGTAAAGTTTAACAACGCTCTGTGTAGCAAGCAGAAATGGCAAGTGATTAAAAGTATAGGAATTGGCAAAAAAGCAAGAAACTCACTAGTTGACATGGACGTAAATGAAGTTAACAAAAAATTTTTGCAATTAGTTGTACCGGACCCAACACCAACCCTGAACTTGACATCAGCGCCCTATAATTATACTGTTCCTAGCTTTAGTTTCTGTTGTGTTAGTCCTTGTGATGTTCTAGAATCCATTGTAGTGAACCCATGCATGTACATATGTAACACTCTGTTATATATATAAATACATATATACATATGAGCAGTGACATAAACAACTTATGTTTATGTTACACATTCCTTTTGCACAGCAACGATCTAAGACTTGAACGCAGATCGGACAGCTACCAAAACTGCTGAGCAGGCATTTACCCGAACTCAGGCAGAACCCAAACGCCCTAACACATAGGCGATGGGTCTCACTCTCAAAAGCCCCTTAATGCTGATCATGCATTTCCATTAGACTCAGAGCAGAGACCACGCGCACTAATACTTATGCGGTGGTATCTCTTTCATATAATGCATGGGAGAACTCTCGCTCTCCGTTATACATAAGAACGATTGTACCCTAGGATAAGAACAAAAAGATATTCAATAAACATTCTGAATTAAGCCACCAACCGATGCGGTATGACTTCGCTGAGCTTCAACATAACATGGCGACCGTGACAAATTCGACACTGCTCGATTAAAACAACTTAATCAATTCATATTAAAAGCTGTGGCCATGCCAAAGGAACAGTTAAATTGTGTGATTGCATTATTGTGTTCCGTGCTATGGTGTTACTGCTGCATAAATACAATGATGAACAACTGGATCAACTGGAACAACAAGGACAGTGATGAACAACTGGCACAACTGGAATAATAAGGACAGAAACAGCAAAGAAATATCTGAGTGAGTACAGGGATGAGCACCCAAATTAAACTTAAACCCAGAAGAAGTGGTTTAAAAGAACGGATCAGAAAGAGAAAGTCTGATATCGTTAAACTTCTGTATAAAAACGACAATCCCCCGAAGTGGGAAGTCGCAGTGAAGTTACAGAGCGAACTCGAACACCTCGAGTCGCTATTAAAAAGTAAAAGCTCACCCTGTGCCACAACACAAAAACAAAATAGACAACTTGTTAATCACCGTCCTGCCCCCAGAGCCATACCAAAACAACAAAAGAAGTGCCCTGGAGACTGCCAAGGACCACTCTACAGCCCGACGTGCAACTACACTTGCATATGGGTGTTGCCGAAACGGAAAGAGATGACCAGCGCCGGCACCCCATCAGCCTGCGAGATGACCAGCTCCAGCACCCAATCCAACTAGCCTGTGCGAAGACACAGCACCGGCACCGCCAGCGCGACAAGCTGCGCCACGGACCGATAGCGTTACAGAGAACGCCCATCAAAATAATATTAAATACTATTAAAACAATATAAATAAATTTAATTTTTGTAATACCCGACGACAATTGAGTCGACCGGTAAAATAGATTGGCCTGTAAAGCCATTCGCCTATTAGGTAGGACACAAATGTAATGATAATTGGTATAATAATATATCAAATTTTAAAAATAATTTTTGAGATAAAAGAAAAACCCAATAATTCAATCATGGGTAAAACAGAATCAAAGATCGAAAATCCGACGGCAAATGTCGTCAACAAACTTGAAATAGTAGATCACACAGAAGACATAGGTTCACTGTGGACACTATTACTAATAATAATTATTTTGCTATCCACAATGCTTTTGCTAAAATTGTATGCAATGCACAATAAGATATTAAAGAAAAAGTACGCAACAACCACTTTATAAACACAAATATATATATATAAAAAAAAAAAATTAATTAAATAAAATTATTTCAAAATATCCGATTATCTATGGACA